CGTCGCCTGGGAAGAACGGACCTCGCCGGCCGCCGCTCCCGAGGCTGCGTGCGACAACACAAAGAGCCCAGCTGCAGGCGGGAGGAGCCAGACCGCAGACCCAGCCGGGACGCCGGCGGCCGCCAGGATACCACCCCCCCCCCACCCCCTCCTCCGTCGTGGAAGCTACCCGCGGGGAGACTCACACTCACAGTCGAACGTGGACCAGTCCGTGTAGTCGGTGACGTCGTGCGGCGGGTTTTCCGGCACGTCCGCCGCTTCCTCGATCTGGGCGAAGCGGGAGGAAGGAACAGAATCGTGACCTCACAGCGGCAGTCAGTCTCTCCGAGCCAAACCCCCCCCCCCCCCCCCCAATACACGTGAGTTAAGCCCCAACCTCTCGTCTTGTGACAGTAGCCCCTCCCCTCATGTCCACATCCTTGCAATAACCCCGCCTCCCACTGTGGCACTACCCCCATCCATAGATATACACTAACAATAACCACGCCCCTTTACCCCACCCCCCGACCAAAGCCACACCCACATATACCAATTGTAGCTCCGCCTCTTAAGTCCATGTTCGGCCACTAGCCACACCCACATGTTCACGGCATAGCAGCAGCCCCGCCCACATCCTGGCAGTAGCCCCGCCTCCCTTGACCATGAGAGTCGTGGCCCTCGACCTTTCCGGCTAAAGGATTTGCAAATTAGCTTTATATCGTTTTAATGCCTCCCAATCCAGAGCCCCCAACTGGCGTTTTGAATGACGGTAGTTGTGCTGTGTTGTTAATTCAATGCAGCTGGGCCCCTGGGGTTACCGCTGTGACAGGCGAACACCCTGTTCTCAGCACCCAGGTTCGGGTCGGGCCCTCACCAGAGGCAGGCCCAGGCCCGCCCGGGCCCAGTTGACGGTGGACAGCTTCTGGCGCAGCACGTCGGCCACGGGGCTGGCCAGGTTGGCGGGGGGGAAGACGGGGGCCTGGCACGCCGGGCACTGGTACCCCGCGGGAGCGGTGTTGGGGGGCAGCCGGGCCGCCAGCTCATTCAGGCAGGTCCAGTGGAACACGTCTGCAACACAAAGGGTAGGGGGGGGGGAGAGGGCACCCCAATCGTCAGGGGTCCCCGAGGCACAGGACACTGCACACGCCTGACTGACCATGCAAACACACACACGACACTGCACACGCCTGACTGACATGCAGACACACACACGACACTGCACACGCCTGATTGACCATGCAGTCACTCACTCACTCACACTCACACACACATCTGACTGACCATGCAGACACACAAACGACACACACAGGACTTTGCACACACCTGTCTGACCATGCAGACACACACACGACACACACAGGACTTTGCACACACCTGTCTGACCATGCAGACACACACACACAGGACTTTGCACACACCTGTCTGACCATGCAGACACACACACGACACACACAGGACTTTGCACACACCTGTCTTACCATGCAGACACACACACGACACACACACATACACACACACAGGACTTTGCACACACCTGTCTGACCATGCAGACACACACACACACACACACACACACACAGGACTTTGCACACACCTGTCTGACCATGCAGACAGGCAGACACACACACACACGGGATACTGCACACACCTGACTGACCATGCAGACACACACAGGACACTGCACAGCCCTGACTGTTTGGCACCCCAGTCAGGCAGTCTGTAGCTGC